CATATCTAAATAACCTTCATCACAATTTTCATTAATGTGTGTTCATTAGAACGGGCTAGAAAGGGTTCTTAATTTTATATATATGCGAGTATTTTTATATTATTTCACATATTATTTTTTAAATTTCACAAAACTTTAAATTTCTTAACATCTTAGCTTTTTTTGAAGCATTAGACTGTAAACCTAAAGTTTTCAGATTGAAATTTCTTTCTCTTCACCCCCCTCCCTTTTCTCAATATTTTGCTAACGTTAGACTAGATTTCATCATTTAACAGGAAAGAATTATAGAATCTTTTGTTACAATTTCCTTACCATAATCTATATTACTTTTTTGTATTAGCATAGAAAGAAATCAAGAAACAATTCCGGTCAGATGCAGATATTTGAAGCCTCATTAACCATTTCCAGGAAGTGAAGATCGATAAGAAACCCCGCTGTTCGCTCCTTTTATGGCGGGTAACTAATGTTTCGTTCCGAATGCGATCCCGGTATATTTCAGTGTCATAACCGGTAATTTATTCAATTCAATGGCATAAAATTTAGACGTAATTAAATTTCAGGAATACCTTTCGAACCCAAAGACGCAACACCGAAAACTTTCCACAGAACCATAAAAGAATAAAGTTTCAAACCTGAACAGTGTAAATCTAATAAATTTGGATTTTATGATTTGTATGAATCTATATACTGTTATAAATAAAAGTAATTTAAAAATTCGCTGTTAGAAAATGAGGAAACAAATATTCCCCACCGAATGGTGCAATATATTCCATATGAAGTATTTTTTACTGAAAACAACGATGTTCTGAAAATTCATAAAAATTATCAAATATCATTCGAAGTAATTTAATTATAAATCACGTTTATTACAGATCTTATTAAAACCAAAATAGCCATTTTCACCAAAACGTACTTTCATCTTCTGTTAGGTAAATTGTTTAGCAATTAAATTTTTATGAATATGTACAGTTAGTTATTAGATTATATAGATGCAGGAATGTGAAAAATGTGCGATATCCTCCCCAACAATGGAACTCCAAATCTCCCGAATGCGCGTCCAGTTACACCACGAAGTGCTTCCAGTTACACCACGAAGGCATGTGGAAAAGAGGGAGAAAATACCTTCTATATTTCTCCTTTTAGAGGGCCAATGGGGATTAAAGGACCCAAACGCCAAATTCTGGCAGTGACGAATTATCGTCTTCTACCTTTTATTTCGGGTGCAACTTATAAGGTCACTTAGAATTTTTCGATGTCAGTAAACTAAAGAAATGTGCAATACCATCGCCGAAATTCGAATTCCGGACTTCTCGAATGCATGTCGAGCTTGCTTCCAATTATACCGTGAAAACAAGTACCAAATCCACGAAGCAGGGAGAAAATACTTTAGCATAATTATTCAATTACGTTACAGATATTTATTAAATTAAAACCCATATATATCACAGTTAAAATACACTTTAATTTATACCAAGAAGATAATTATTAGCAAATAAAACTTTATCTATTAAAAAGTGTGTTTAGGACTTTTAAATTTCTCAATTTATTAAACTGGTATACTTTGAAAAATAGATTACTAGCCTTATGTTGTCACTAAAATGCCATACTTTAGGAACTGGATGTTTAGCAAGCCGCGAAGGATACGGACTTAAGAGCGTATGTTCGTCGGAATGGCAGCAGTTGCCAGATCACTTGGATGATTAAAAGCATTATATTCAGTCGTTGAGAAATGCTTGTTAATATTTCTAAAAGATGGCATTACATGTCGGTCTGTTTGATTGCTTAGCACCTTCCTTTTTAAACCCATGATTATGTAAAACTTTATGATTAATTCAATATTCTTTGTCTTAGAATTCGAACTGCAGTACACCGTATATTGAAATGTTATAAATATTCCGTGGAATTACTGAGTCCCGCTTTTTAAGCTCTGTAATTGTATTTAACTTACCTTTAATTAAAAGATAAATAATCATCCTTGCCATGCATCTCATTCTATGATTCTCTTTTGTTTTGATTTCGATCGACTTCATAACAAGATAAAAACCAAAAGAATTGGAAACGTCCATTTTAATTTTCATTAAAAAAGTATAAAAATAAAATTAAATCTTTTAATAGACCGTCTTTTCTCGCTTCCCTCATTCTGGAATTGTTTGTTCTCTTAAATTCAGAAGTGTATGCAATTTAATTTAATTTAATTTTTCCATTTACCATCCACACTGCTTTATAACTTGCTAGTGTGTCGTGATTCTACGAGATATGAATTTCGTAATTGATGTTTCAAATTAAAAATTCTACATTTCTCAATAAACTGCGTGATTTAAAACTCATATGCATCTGAGCAGTTTATAGATCTATTTTATCTTATTTATTTATTTTTTGCAGTGTGAAATCTGTACATTCTAGTTTTTCTATGTTTCTCATTACGTCATGTTATATTACGTTGCGTTGATTTATTACAGCATTAATCGCGAATTGAGATATTAACAGTTCGAATAGCTGTTACCACACATGAGATATATACAGGGTGATTCTAAATTACTTTTACAAATTAAGAGGGGTGATAGTACTCATCCAGATGAGCAATAATTGCCATAGAACATAGGGTCGCAGTCCACTCTGAGAGGAGAAAATAAGAATATTAGAATTCCAGTCTGAACTTACAACAGTGTTGAGAGGGCGAACGAACGAGACCAAATGTTGCACAATCAGTTTAGTGACAAACTCACAGAGAGTGCAAAACCGAAAACTTGGCGTTCGAGTGTTAATGCGAGCTGAGACTTTGATGGTAAACACTCAAATGCACGTCTTTCGTTGGCAAGGTCTCAATCTCGCAAACGATTGCAACAAGTTAATTATGTAATCAAGGGCTGAATATTATCAACCAACTCCAACGTCCGCTGCATGCCAAGATCAGCATGAAAAGCTTATGCTGCGTTCCGGCTGTCAGAACTTCGTGTCCCATAGAAGGATAGAATTAAGTAGAATGAGCGCAATGTAGAGTAAGTCAATGAGCGTAAGTCCAGGAAGACAGGATAGAAGATGGCTAAGAGAAAAACAACTGCTACCTTGATACTTGATATCAAGGTAGTTTTTCCTTCTAATAGATAATTTCCTCCTAATAATTTAGATAATATAACTTGTTGCAATCATTTGCGAGGTTGAGACCTTGCCAACCAAAGATGTGCATTTGAGTGTCAGCCGTCAAAGTCTCAGCTCTAATTAACTCTCGAACGCCAAGTTTTCGGTTTTATCCGTTTTTTGCACTCTGTGAGTTTGCCACTAAACTGATTGTGCAACATTTGGTCTCGTTCATTCGCTCTCTCAACACTGTTGTAAGTTCAGATTGGAATTCTAATATTCTTCTTTTCTGCCTCTCAGAGTGGAATGCGACCCTCTGTTCTATGGTATTTATTGTTCATCTGGACGAGTACTATCCCCCCTCTTAATTTTCAAAAGTAATTTAGAATCACCCTGTATATTGAACAGTATTTGTATTAAAATGAGACATGCTTGTACGCGGCTGGAGTCTTTGAGAAATTTAATCTTTATTTTTAAATAAAATTCTTCACATATAATTTCTTAATTAAGTTTGTGCTGTATTGTTATTTTCTTTTTTCTTGCTTATAAAGAAAGTTATTGGAGATTCGAATTTTAAGAGGGGATTAAGCAAATGACAAAAATGACAGGTGAAAAGTATGGCGTTTCACAGACACGCGCAACCCGGAAACAGAATGAAAGATATGCCAAGCTAACCCTTAATGTTTTGCATGGGCATTTTCATATTTTTCCCCATGTGCAACGTGTCAATACGAGCCAGTTTCCATTAGAAAGTCCACCAGGAAGGCATCCCTCCCATCCGTGTAGTGCCTTACGACGGAACACTTAAATAATAATAATAATAATAACTCTTAACATTCAGAACACGGAATGGAATAGATAATGTATATGTAAGCTACAATGGCCTTATTCCTCTCAGACGCTATGATTGTAGTACGACAGTGAGTATTGCTTGGGTAGTGCAATAAAGCGGAGGGGAAGTTTTTATCACTAATACGTAGTATTGCGGAGTGATACGTATGCAGCACTATTACCCAAATGGTCAATAATTCTCATCCATTTATTGAAATATTAGTAACAAATATGACGCAGAATTATGCATAGACGTCACGATTCGAGAGTACATTGGCCAGCGATTTAAATTTTAAAAGTATTAAAAATCTATAAAAAGCATTTAAAACTCATTAAAAAACGGAATTGTTGTTTACCTTGTCGGAGCAACAAGTACTCTTAACAGTACTTGCTCCAAAATGCAAGATAACACCAAATAATTTGAGTCAAATTATCATGGACAAGTCACAAGAGACTTTGCTGGTATTACATTAAAATCCAAAAGAGAAGTAGCATGGGACTTGCGGTTCAGCACTGGCATTTAAGCTGCTAAAGAAGTGGCTATCCTAGTTTTAAATCCAACGCATAATTTCCTTCACATACTCAAACACTTCTTGCGTTCCGGACATAAACTTTTCTGTCCGAAAAGTATGTGATACTATGACTCTAGTGTCATTTAAAGCGAGGTAAAAGCATCAACTTTGCTCTCAGCCTGGCTTTTTTCCATAAGATTACTATATCGTATGTGTACGATATGCTCAATTTTAATGCGGGGTACGTTAACGGTAAAATGCCCTAAATCTCACAGAAATTTTACTTCATGGTAATATATGGCTGGAAATATTGCGAGACAAGTGAGCCATTTTATACACCTTGTTTTCGGCAAGGCGAGAGTTTGCGAAATGCCATACTTAGCATTTGTTATTTATTCACATGTTTGACCATCCCTAAAAGTTTCTTTCTGCTTGTTGCCGGGAGATTCGATAACTCCGCTATTAACGTTAGTCAATTATATAACTAATCTTTTATAACTAACTTTATTATTAACGTTAGTTATAAAAGACGTTATAAAATAATCCTTTTAAATAACTGTTTTTATTTTTCTTTTGCAGGTAAGAACTTTGGTGTTTGGTGTTGTTACAGATATGGAAACTTAAAGTAATGTAGAATTGTTGTATTTAAAATTCATAAATACAATCGCTGTAAATATAAATTTTATTCAATATGTTCCTGTATAAAGTTAACAACTAATGACAGATTTCCGTTTATTTTAAATTAACAAACTTTAAGTATCAAAAGTGCATGTACAACCCAATTTTCCTTCTCTCGTAACGAAGAACTGTAAGACAATTTTTGTTTTTAATTTCAAGGGAGTTAAGTTTCTATTGCAACGACTTTCATATATAAAAATGAAATTCAAAATTAGAATTCAGGTAAATTACTCATTGTAATGATTCATCATCGAGATCAATAATTTTGAATTAATTAACTGTCAGAAGAATGTAACTGAAACAATTCAAATGTCGATAACATTTAAAAATCTAAAACTTTCAGCGTTCAAAAACCATATTTGTCTAAACAAGTTTTTACGAGTTCGGATAACCAATTACATGATTTTTCCTGTAATCAATGTTGGGATAAGAAAAATCTTACTGTCATTTCGAGTTTGCGAATGTTGCGTAATGAGACATTGCAACACTCCCCGATATACACTAAAATTCCGAAGGGCTTGCTGGAACATTTTGTGTGCAACTTATGTTTTTTTAGATATCAGTGCAAATGCTCGTAGTATATGTTATGAGTCGTATTTAAAATTTCGCTAGTTCTTCTTGGTTTTCTGAGTAGATTTTTAAGTGGAAAAAGCTATAAGTGCATTTTATGTGCCGCACATCTTGTCACAGCTGAGTATATACTTTCTCAGTGTTTTATTCTATAACAAACAAAGGCTAGGCTTTTAAATCTAAATGCAGTTTCATTTTCAACTCTAAACTGAAAGTGTCTACAATGTAGTTATTTATGATGCTAATGATTTTTAATACATTTTTTCCCACTCGAATTCTAATCGACACCTGTCAATGTCTTACTACCCAACTGGAGTTCTATAGGTGGGATAGAGGCTTTTCACTAAACGTGTCGACTATTACAAGATTTGGTAACATTGTTTTTGAGTTAAAGGAATATGAAATAAGAATCAAAATTAACATATCAGTATATGTCTGCAAAACTCAGTCTGATAGTACTGAAAAGCATAAAATGCCATATATGAAAATAAATTTGCAATGCATTATTATAGACATAATAAAATTTCTTTTAATAATGTTTTAAGACCCTTAAATTAAAATATTGTTGCGTGCGTACGGGTTCGTTATGAAATGAATGCACAAGTCCGATAAGAAAAATGAACAAAAATTTATTATTATCACAACAAAAATGCTTAAATTTTCTCAAATTATCATGCAGTATTACAATATCTCACAGTAGTTATCTTTTAACTACTCAAATGTCCAATAGAACGTAATTCAAAACAGCTAAAGAACGCTAATCCGCGAATTCGCTACAATCAACAACAGTAGTTTTCTAAACAAACTAAGCAACTACTACAAACTGAGATGTTTTCCTCCTTTTATAAGATTTTAAAAATCACGCGCTAGAATTTTCCAGTACTTTCTCGAAATCAAAAAGAGATATTTATTTATTTAATGCACGCGCTCTTGTATTTTCAATTTTCCGGCTTAGCTTTCTTTTAATATTCGTCACGCGCTGCACTGCGCGAGAAATAAAACCATTTAATTTATAATTGAACTAACATTAGCTTTTTAAATACCAAATTCGTAACACTGCCCCCTTCCCAAGGACTGCACGTCCCGGGCAGTACAATCCCTGGACAGGAAGCTAAACTTACAACTGTGGCATAAATGCAACTGAGGCATAAACATTACATTACAATATCAAACAACATGAACAATAAATGCAATAACTAACTTAAACAAATCAAATGCTATCAAATACTAAATACAAAACAAATACTAAATACAAATCAAATCAAATACACATTTAAAAACAAAAAGGACCATGGTCTTATACTATTTACAATTATTTACATTACGTACTATGGCCATAGTAATGAGCTAACCTGTCGTAATGAACGACTTTAGGTTTAGAGTTCGAAGACTCACGGATCCGAACCACGACGTCATTCGTTTTCAGCACTGTATATGGACCATCCGAAGGTGACTGTAATTTAGGACTCAGTCCTTTTCGTTGAATCGGGTTCCACAACCACACCTTGTCTCCTTTGTTGGATCTATGTCTAGTAGCTCTTGTGTCGTATCTGGTCTTCACTTTTCTCCGTCGCCAAGTTGACTCGCTTTCGTGCAGAACGGTGCATCCCCTTCAAAACCGGGCCTGGACATCTTGGATGTGTTCCTCAGGCGATGAAGGCGCATCCGTAGGCGATCAAAACAGGCGGTCACAAGGCAGACGAAGGTCTCGACCGAAGAGCTTCTGAGATGGAGAATAGCTGGTAGTCTTGCGTTTCTTTTCAACACTAGTATGATTTCGGCAGCTTCCCGAGCTGGATCTTTCGGACAAGGCGTCGACATTTCTAGGTGAGGATCACTTCTGAGGATGGATAGTCATGTCCTCAGATGCTGAGAACAGCTTATTGTTTTTGAAGTCTAAGGAAAAATTGTATTTCCTTAAAAAGTCCAATCCGAGTATGCATGGATCTGTAATATCCGCCACATATGCCGTGTGATGGTAGGCGGCACTTCCAAACGTGATGTTTACGTTTAACTTCCCAGTTATGTCGATCTTGTCACCAGACGCAGTCTGAAGGGTAACACAGGATGGCGTCCAAATAAGTTTATCTTTAAACTGTTCAGCTAAATCTTTCCTAATGATGGTAACATTAGCTCCTGTGTCAATGATCATATTGCAAGGAACTCCATCGATATTCCCATTGATGGACAGTCCGTTATTGTTGCCACTCACTATAGAGATCTTAAGCGCTTTAAAACAGGGTTTTTCATTATCTGGCAACCTCCGTTCCTTGATATGGTCATTAATTTGTTTCCTGCGTCGTTGCTCAGAAATTGTCTCAATTTTCGTACCCTGGGGTGTTCTGCAATTCTTTCGTACGTGGCCTTCAGCTCCACAGTTCCAGCAATTTGGTTTCTTGTCAGTCCTTTTCCTTCCCGTGGCATTTAATTGTCTGTTTAAATCGTATGCCTCATTTTCCGTGCTCTGGGGAGTTCTGCAGTTCCTTCGTAGGTGGCCTTCAACACCTCAATTCCAGCACTTTAGGGTCGGTTTTGTTTCACCACTATTCCGTCTTAAAGCATTCACTGGTCTTGTCAGCATTCACTGGTCTTGTCTTGTCTTGTCAACTCATCCGTTTCATTATCCGTGCCCTGGGGTGTTCTGCAATGCCGTCGTAGGTGACCTTCAGAACCACATCTCCAACATCTTACAGCCACTTTGTTCTCACTGCTACTCCGTATCAAAGCATCGACTTGTCTGGATAAATCATCTAAACGAGCCATCAATTGGTCCCCTGGGTCGTGGACTCGCACAGCTCTGACTGGGTAGCGATCCCTAAGAGTTGCTTGCTGGGCTGCCTCCAATTTCACGGCGTACAACAGAGCGCTTTTTACATCCTTTACATCTGCCATTCGCAGTGCTTTCTGTATTTCAGGGTCCCGGATGCCATCGATGAAATATTGCAGCGACAGGATTTCCCTCGTTTCTCTCGGGCACTCCGTAAAAGGCGAGGTGGGACAGCCTTTCAACATCCGTGGCGAGCTCCTGAAGTGATTTCGGTGGGCTTCTGTTGACGGGATTTTAATTGAAGCCTGCTGTAGTCTTTTAAACATTTCTCGCCAAAGCGCAGCTCCAATGCGCCGGATAGAGCTTCGAAATCTAAGTCTTTGGTTTTCGGGAAGAGTCTGCAAGGATATCCGCTGCGTCTGGCTCTTAGAGAAGCGGCGAGATGACAGGCCTTAGCTTGGGAATCCCATCCATTCGCATCCGCCACGATAGAAAATTGTGTCTTATACACCTGCCAGGAGGTCTTCCCATCATATGTGGATAGCTTCAGAGGTGGACGAGCAGGCATTGGTAAGAATTTAAAATCATCACTCCTGCTCCCTGCCGACGCTACGAATTTCTTTAAAGTATCCATTTCTTTGGCAACTGCAGAAACTCTCTCATCAATTTGTTGTTCGATTTGGTGTTGGACGGCACAAACTCTTCCTTCAATTCGTTCCTCCACAGCAGAAACTCTCCCTTCTATATGTTCTTTTACAGAAGAAACTCTTTCTTCTATTTCTTCTTTCACCGAAGAAACTCTTTCTTCAATATGATCTTTTACGGAAGGAACTTTTTTTTCTTTTGTCCAACTTTATTTTCAACTGCGTCAATTCTGCCTTCCATAGCTTCAAATTTATTTTCTATTATGCAAGTAATTTTTCTTTTTATTTCTTCTTGACCAGCTTGAACGGCTTTCATTTCGTCCTTAACGGATTCCTGGCCCAATTTCATTTCCTCTTTAATTTCTTCTTTAAATGAGGCAAAGGCTGATATTAACTGCCTTAATTGCTCTTCCATCGCTCTTGTTATTGGCATTCAAACCCCACTCCTGACACCAAAAATTGTTGCGTGCGTACGGGTTCGTTATGAAATGAATGCACAAGTCCGATGAAAAATGAACAAAAATTTATTATTATCACAACAAAAATGCTTAAATTTTCTCAAATTATCATGCAGTATTACAATATCTCACAGTAGTTATCTTTTAACTACTCAAATGTCCAATAGAACGTAATTCAAAACAGCTAAAGAACGCTAATCCGCGAATTCGCTACAATCAACAACAGTAGTTTTCTAAACAACAACAAACTAAGCAACTACTACAAACTGAGATGTTTTCCTCCTTTTATAAGATTTTAAAATCACGCGCTAGAATTTTCCAGTACTTTCTCGAAATCAAAAAGAGATATTTATTTATTTAATGCACGCGCTCTTGTATTTTCAATTTTCCGGCTTAGCTTTCTTTTAATATTCGTCACGCGCTGCACTGCGCGAGAAATAAAACCATTTAATTTATAATTGAACTAACATTAGCTTTTTAAATACCAAATTCGTAACAATATTAATAA